CCATAAAGTGCTATCGAGTGCTTAAGATCCCAAACATAATAAACAGGAATACAGTATGATGTATCATCAGGACTAAAAAGCACAAACATCTACTTAATTGTCTCCCTCTATTACTCTAGGACAAGTTAGTTTAAAATTCTAGCAAAGAATTGGCTGACAACAGAAGAATAATGAATTTATGTCAGTTGTTCACAATATACAATGTTGATCAGCAGCCACACTAAACCTTTCCATGGACAGAGTTGGGAATGAGTTGAGGAAGAGCAAAGATATTTAAAAGTATATTAGGACAGTTGAGTGTACAAGGGCTTATATATTTCAAAGTCATGTAACATTTCTCAATTCCTGCTCTTACTGGAAGATGACATGACGCTGAGGGTATGTTCCCGGGTCAGGAGCCAAGAACTAGGCAAAAGGTATTCCTAGATGTTTCTTTGTCTTTTATTCAAATTACAGCATTCTTGGGTTTCAGTTGCTACTTCCAACCCCACCGCAAGGGAAGCATCAAGACCTTTAGTCTACATGAACTTTAATATTGCATTCACACGTAGTTAGCATTCTACCTGTCTAGAAAAATCACGTGAACTGTCCATGAGCGACTATACCTTAGTGCTCCTCTGTAGAAGTGACAACAGGCTCATGTTCTTAAATAAGAAAGGAAGAATTTATGGTAGTTCTACAGAGAGGAAAGATGGACAGTTTTTCAGACGTGTTTACAGAAAATGCACATGCGAATCTGTTGATCTTGTCTCCATGATTGTGATCCTAGCCTATAGCACTGCTAATATCGCTTCATGATGAAACTCCGATGAGCTTGGCCATACAAAAATGATTTACATGTTTCCAAGAACACATCCTACTATGGGGATTTTGGTATACACTCTGTGTTAAAATATTTTTCACTGAACTAAAAGAAGCACATTTATGGCCTATTGTCTTTTTGTGATAATGTCAAGACATAATAAAACTGTATTATACACTTAGGAGAAGGTGATGAGAGTAAGAAGGCCAAGACTGACCCAGAATTAGGGTAAGAGGGCTAGGCAACTAAGACTCATGCATTCCTTTGGACACTTCCCTGGGTTCTTCATCACCTTGCCTAAACTTCTGTCGACCTGACTGGTCACCATTCATGAGAAACTGGACTCCATACATTTCCTGGCCAATAAGTACACACTTCACAGTTTCAATGGCTAGAAATTAATGTTATGGTCTCTTGTCACAACTGCTAATGCAAATCCAGCGACAAATGTTAACCATTGTGAGATGGCTGTGCTTGGGAGCTTGTAGAATTTCATTAATGATTGATAAAGTAATTTTACAAATTACTGAGGGTTGATGAACATAAAGGTCAAGGGCCTAATGCTTAGCCAGGCTGGATGGACATTGCCCATTTCCTGTACAGTGTAGTAACTGTGAAAACTAGAATATAATTTTCTGTATGAATATCATTTCCTTAGCTTGTTTATACTGTAGAACTAGTGGTCAACTTTTGTAAATAGTTCACATGATCTAGGGAGCAGGGTATTCATGCTCTTGTACGCAGGTTTCTGAGATTCTGGTTAAAGAATGGGGTTAGATACAAACTTTATGATGTCTGTAACAGCTATTATAAAGATATCACATGCTATAAGTTGGTTCTGTAGAAACTATCATTAGGAATGCAAAGTTGTTTATCAAGCCAATGTTCCTATTTGGGCAGCAGGTTTTCATGGGTGACCATTTGATAGGTGAGAGATGATATTGAAACGTAAATTCCCAGTGAAGGCAGAGAATTATACAAGATACTAGAAATAGGATTCTAGTTACTACCTGGTAAAAAGGGTGAGGTCTACTTTTAATGAAAGTTTTCACTTTATTTCACATGCTCTATCCAACCATATCTTCCCTAATATAGAAGTAAATATATATTTATTATTTAAATTTAAGTTGTTGCAGTGGCCAGGATCTAGTAATTTTGTAAATATTTGCAACCTGCATAAATAAATTGGTAAGTAAGTGAAAGTTGTTTTCTGCTCCTCTCACCGAATCGTAAGCAGCTGTACCATGTTCACCTTGCAGTTTTCTGCATTTAGAATGCATCATGTCTTGGTCATGTGAACATTAGTTATGATTATCAGAAGAAAAAGTTAGGGACAGAAAAAATGAGCCCCCTCATGTAATCTTTCTACAAAAGGTGTGCATCCTCGAGGCTTCCTCTGCTGCTCAAGAGCCTTTAATGCTTGTGTTGGATCCCTTTAGCATCAGTCTTTTCATTCATATGTACAGATTTGGATGGAACCTCTTTCAGAAGGAGCCAAAAGATGTCTTTGGTTCAAAGCAATCCCTCCCTCCCGATGAAAAAGCCTCATATATATTAAAGATAGAGTACAAACTCTGAAGGGAGAAATGGTTGGCTAAGGATAGAGGCATCTTCCATAAGTAATGGTGAGTTGAATACATGTGCACAATCATTCTGGTTGGTCCAGTGGAACTCATCAAGTTCCAGGAGATGGGTACAGTAACTCTCCATCTTTGGTTTTTGTGGATTTATCTGTTTGTCATTTTTGTTATAATAAGCGCTGCCCATGCCAGGTATCTCAGATTAATAAGAATTTTCTGGTCTCTTTATTTAACAGCTTTGACTTTGCTATATTGCAAATATGCTTAGAGGGGTATGCTAGAATTAAGCTACAAAAATGTACCATGAATTATTGTATAGCTTTGCTCTCATTGTAATGAGACAAGGTTAAAGATTTGGAAAGTAAGTTTCTCTCACACCTGTTCTCTTTGAGATTATTTTCAGAATGCACAACTGGCCCAAGGTTATAGGTGATCTTTGCTGCTCCTTGGTAATGAGAGAACCACATGGTGTTCTTGAAGCAACTTCCTGCAATTGTTTGCCTCCTGCAAACAGACACAAGAGCAGACTCACCTAATTAGCAGAATCCCCCTTGGACTCGCTGTCTGTGCTTCCAGCACATTAATAAAGCCGAGACGTGAAGTGGGACCCTCGAGGGCCTTTCACCATAAGTCCATTGTGTAAACATATGGTGCAGAAGCAACAGCTCGGCTGAGGGGCTGGCGAGAAGATCGCTCGGAATGCGGCCCCACCAGGAACTGTGCTCACATGGTCTCAGCTGGGAGTTGCTCTGGTCTATTTGACTAGCAGCATTTCAATGGCCAATGCCATGTGCTGGAGAAGTTTTGGAGTGTTAACCCTGAAAGCTGGCATTCCAAGGAAGCTTGTAAGTTGCAAGGGAGCGGACAGCAGCTTCTCTGCTGCGTCAGCAAAATTCACAGTGCATCAGGCAGCCTGGGTGATTTTCTTTGTAGGAAGCTTCAGATCATTATTTTTTTTTGCAGCCACGCTAACTTCTAGGAGTAGTGTCTTGATGTGATTTGATTACATATCTCCGTGGTTCAGGGAGCCTAGGTACCTGTTGTAAGTGCACATTTATGAAGGACGGACCTGGAACCAGTTCAATTCAGTGTTCATTCATTGCAAGGGATGGTCAGTCTTGATTAAGGCTACACACAAGGATGAAAAGAAGTCTTATCCAAGAACAGCACAAAGGGTCTCCCTTCAGGATATTAACTTTGAGAGTTTAAGACACTTTTCCTAGTAAGAAAAAAAAAAGCCACGTATTCATGGGATCATGCTCACCATTCCTAAACTACCATGTATGATTCAAGAGAACCAATTAGGTACATGGCATCCGGTGACTCAGGCAGAAAATTCTGTTTTCCCTTGAGTAAACTTCAGCATTAAGGGCAAACATCTACACTGACCTAAATTAGCCAACTGCCACTCAGTTCTTCACTTTTCTTGAAGTATTACAGGTGTGTCTTAGTGCCAGGGATGAAAAAACTCAGTTTCTCTTATAATCCCTGAAAACCTGCGACCAGTAAAAGTAAAAAATGTTCTGGTCCAATAAGCAGTTGCAAGTCCAGGATGGCTCTCCGAGAATGACATCTGTGACATTTTAAATCTAAGCAGACAATCCCCTGCCCATCTGACTGAGTTCTTTCTAAGCATACTTTACTTCTGTCTTAAGCATTTCCTCACTGGGAGTCTCTTGTTTCCCAGGGGTAAGTGTAAGCTGATCAGTATCCACACGGAACCTTCTCTGAGTCGCTTACAGGGATGGCTGTGGGGAAAAACAGCATCAGGAGGAGGAGGCCGGCTGGATGCAAGGCCAGCGACAGGTGGGGCAGCTAGGCTGGCCCTTTGCTTTCACAGCATTCCTCTGCTCACATCTGTACTCGCAGTTGTCATAGGAGTACACTGAACTACATGAATACATTTGCTAATAAGAAGCCTTTTTTTTTTACAGCACTGTTTCAAAAATAGCTACTCAACATAACAACCTTAGTTTTAATGTGTCAAATTACAGTTTTCAATAATTTAAGCGAGCATGTCCTGTCACCCTCAACACATGTTTAATATATACTTGTTATATATAAATGGATACGGTGATATCCACATTTGTATTTGTCTACACACACACACACACACACACACACACACACACACAGACACAGACACACACACAGACACATACACGCAGACACACAGAGATGCAGGGCCCCGCTAAAGAGTGTGTCCCCTTAATTGCCAACTGGGCTTATTTATATGAAGAATCACAATGCCATTTGTAGAACTGACAGGATTTGCCCATCAAAACCACAGAGCTGGTTCCAAGTGAGTCTAAGGACAGATGCTGTGCACAATCAGGAGGATTGGTCTGAGAGCTGGGGTGGGCACCTACCACCCGGGCATGGCTGGGAAACACCCACCACCCATGCATGGCTGGGAAAACTTCTCCCCACGCCCAGGCTTCTGCTGTCATACCCAATTTTGTTTATTTAAATGACTGTCGATTCTATTGTTGCAAAACATAGATTTTTTTCCCCCTAAAGAAATTCAATAAATAAAGGACTTAGCCACTGAACCAAGGAAGCAGAACTCCAGTTTTGAACCTTCCCGTGGGATTGGAGCTAGATCCGACCCATGTCAGTTTGTACTGCAGTAGGTCTTCCAGGAGGCAGAGGGCGCAACGCCCCTCCAGGCGGGTCCAGGACAGACTGTCTCTGGTCAGCGTTGGCTCTCTGGGTGTCATTGAATGAGGCTGGAGCTGTAGCTGAATCCGTAGCTGCTGGACCGTGACAAAGGCGGCTGAACCTCTTCATTGGGCTCTGTGGAGTAGCTGGGAAACGTCTGTGCCCGGGACATCTTTGTAGGACCAAACCCGTGGCCTGGGGAGGAAAAAGGGAGAGATGAACTGAGAAGCAGATTCAGCAATGTGACAGACATGATAAAACAAGAAAACAATGAATGGCTGAAGCCTCAGGGGCCAGCTCCAGGTAAGCAAGCTGCTAACGCTGAGATTGCGGCGCCTTGCTCCTCGATGAGCTAGAATTCTTCTAGTCGCTAAATATATCTTGTCAAGATTTTTGGATGTTCGGTAGACATAGTTTTCAAGAAATCTCAAACTTCTATCCTGGAATATTTGGAATAGAAGTAGAAAAATTCTCCCCTACACTGAAAAAGATCTTTCTACTAGATAACCCATAAGCTACTTTCATTTCTTATTCCCACTTTCAACAAATACATGCAAATTATGCAAATTATCCCCTTTTTTCCCCCCAAAGGCAAGTTTTATATATTTGTTTTTCCTATGCTTTTTTTTAATTTAAAAATTTTATTTACATAAAGTGAACAAGTTTCATGTTTTTGCATTACAGCGTTAGGAGCGTAGTGACGCTCTGTGCCCTGTCATTCCTTCTGGCCATCTTCTCCAGCCCCACTACCTCCTTCTCTCTCCCCTTTTTAATTTTTGCAGTGGCAGACTTTCATTTCACTTCACACTATTTCTTAAAACCAAACTCTACCACCCCGCAATTTAACCAGTCACCAGGAAATATCAGAAGAAAAGCTTCTTCAGTGACAGACTCAGTGCCTCTGTCTGGTTTATCCTCGTGGGTGTGTGAGTCCCAGGAATGAAATCCACTTCATGATGTGGCTCACCAAGATGAACACCCTTGGTGGTTACCAAAATGATCTAAAATTGAATCAAACGCAAAATGTACTTAAAAAAAAATTCTTCTGTGCTTTTATTCATAAGGGTACATTCCTTGTTGAGGCATTTTCAAACAAAAGCAAAGCAGAAGTGATTCCTGAAACCCTTTGGACAGACAGCAGTGTGGGAGAGAAACACGCATGCTCAGGCTGCAGCTCAAGTCCTGGAGGCCTTGGTGTCATTTTGTTCTCCAGTAATTAGTTCTCCTACTTCAGGATGATTCGCATGCAATGGAGGAGCTTAATGGGGAAAGAACAAAAGCCCATGTAATATTTTCTGTGTTTTTGGAGTTTATTTTACCCAGAGGAAGAAAGGCATTTGGTTTGATTTGTATTTTATCTGCTCTCTGGGCAAGGGAGCGAGAGGCGACAATCTCGTAACACAGAGACGTGGAGCTCTCACTGCTGGGCTCCTCAGCAGCCCTGTCCTTCTCAATGTCACACGCTGAATGCGCTTTCGTTGTCTGCTGTGTTTGGTGACTCAGATAATGTACTTGCAGTGTGGGCAGCTTGGGATCTGGGGCCGAAAGCCAAAAGGGCAGAGAAAGAAGCAACTCATTAAAATCGGGAGAACCACTTACATGTTTCAAATGTTGAGGGGAAAACTGGCTTTTAGCTGAAGGACATTTCTGGTCACTATTTATCGGAATCTCTGGTTGACTCACCACGAGCTGTTTAGGGAGAGTGGGAAAGGATGTTCACCCTGCCGTTCCTGCTGCCTAGCCAAGCCAGTCCTTCGGAGCTTCCAGAACTTTCTGCCACCACAGTGCTCCACATTCGCCCTCTCCTAGGGTCCTGTACTCGCATTTCCTCTTAGACCTTTCAGGGCTAGGGATGGTAATGCTTATCAGTCCTACCTGGCTCCCTAACCCACACTCACAGCTCTAAAGAGACCTGTCTGCTGAGTTCTCTTTCAGAGAACCAAGATGGTGGAATAGGGTAACGACATGTTTAAACAGAGAAACATTAGCCAAGGTGAAGGAGAGAGGGCACATCCCAGGAAACAGGAGAGGACAGGCCGAAGCAGAGGGCACCTGGAGACTGATGGAATGGAAAAGCAGCGAAGACACAGGTGTGGTGTTGTAGTGTCCAGACACCCCTGCAGCACTCAGTCAGCAGTGATCTGAGCTGCACCAGTGGCCAGAGGGCCTCCACAGCCGACTTATTGGGAATGAAAGACACAACAGAGCAAATCAAAAATTCAGTGGAGAAGCTCAAAAATGGAATAATAAAAATTCAAAAAAGAATCTCTGAAGTGTAAGATATTTCTTGTCATAATGGGGAAGCAATCAAAAAGGTGGAAGCAGAGCTGGGTTAGGTTAAAAAAATTTAAGAATTAACAGACACTATTAAAAGCCAAACAGAAGAGTTATGGGAATTCCAGAAAGCGTAGAAAGAGAAGCTGGTTTTAAAAATGTATTAAAAAAAAACTTTCCTAATATGGAGAAAGAATTGAGTAACAGAACACAGGAGGGGCACAGAACTCTCGAAAGGGCTGACCAAAAGTGACCTTTACCACTTCACATGGTAATCCAGTTGAACATAAGGGAAGATTCTTAAATGTGCACTTAAAGAACCAACTGATCCATAGAGGAATGGCAATCAGACTCACACCTCACCTGTCACAGGAAACTTTACGGGCCAGAAGAGAATGCAGCGATATATTCCAGATTCTAAAAGCAAAAAAACTGTCAGCCCAGAATAATGCACACAGTAGAGCTTTCCTTTGTCTTTGAAAATGAAATAAAATTCTTCCACAGTAAAGAAAAGCTCAAATAATACACTTCTTCCAGACCTGCCTTACAAATGATGCTTAAAGATGTTTTCTTGACAGAGAAGAGGAATAGCACCCAATGAAACCAAAGGCAAATATGAAGAACATCCCAGTAAAATAACAACAGAAGACTAAATCTAACAAGGAACAACCCGTTGCTAAAATGACAGGACCAAATTACCACCTATTCATTTTATTCCTGAGTTGAAATGGCTTAAGCTCATCAATGAAATATCATACACCTGAACTGGTTCAAAAAACAAACCTCATCTATGTCTTGCCAACAAGAGACACATCCCACCAACAAAGCTCAGTGCAAACAATATCTCATGGATTTTGATGTTTTTTGTTTTTTGTTTCTATTTTCATTTCTTCAAAACAGTTTTTTTCCTGAATTCGTCACTGACTCATAGATCATACAGTAGCATCACTTTCTCCAAGAAGGTTCTTGATTTTCTTTTTTCATTTCTTTAGCAACACATTCGGTTGTATGTTATTTAACTTCATAGTGTTGTAAATTCCTATTTTCCTTCCTGTTGTTGATTTTGTTCTGTGGCTTTTCATTTAAGGGATGTATAGTAACTGTGTAATGGAGACTATCATATCCAGATATGAGGATACAATGCAGTGTGCATCTCTACTTCCAAATCAAAGTTTGACTTTCAATGAAACTGTTGAATATATTGACAATAGGATGCTGGACTCTCTGCCATTGTCTATGCCCACAGTGATGGACTTAGGATTGTGAGGAACTATATTATTATAACAATATAGTCTAAATCAGTGGTGCTGGGGATTTTGGGAGGGGGTAAGGGAAATTCCAGAGCCTATTGAATATATCATAAAATAATAACAATAAAATATATGAAAAAAAAAAGTGATACTTAAAAAAATTTTTTTCCTGCAGATGTAACGCAGGTAACAAGTAAAGGAATGAAAGAGTTAAGTGACTGGCTGGGACTAGGAGAAGTGGAAGAGGAGAAATTAGAGGTGTGGTTAGTGGTAGTGTCCAAGTAGAGGTCAAGCTGAGGGTTAGGAAGAGGCTGGGGAATTCTTGGAGGTTGGCAGAGTTGGGAAAAGTGAGGAGTGGCTGGTGAAAGACAGAATGGTTGCAACAGGGTTTAGGGAACTATCAGATGTCAGAATTCAGTGGAGGTTAGGGGTGTGATTAAGAAGGAGTCAGAAGTTAGGGGAGGAGTTTGGGAAGCTGTCAGGGGAGAGGGTGGAAGTTAACAGAGGGTTAGGAGAGACAGTAAGGGTTGAGTCACAGGTTAGAGGAGAGGGTTGTGGCAAGGTTCAAGGTTAGGGGAGGCTTGGAGGTTAGTGCTGGGAGCTGTGGAGCTGCTTCTGCTGCTGGCCAGCTTATAGCGAATGTTCAGGGTCTGACTTTGCTTGTGGGTTTCTCAGTTTCTTTATCTGAAAGTCCTGGATGGTGATAAAAACATCAAGATTATGTGATTCCACTGAATACTGAAGCAGTGTACTAAACTGTGTTGGAGGCTGTCACTCTAGTAAGTCGATGTATTGTCATGGTAGTTTCCAAGCAGGACGGTAACTTTGGTGACCAGAGAAGGTCTCTTCAAGGAGGTGGGACTTGGGCTTGGTGTTTATATGACAAAGTTCTGATACACACATCTGATTGAGAAAAACCTTACCAACCCAACATTTTTGTTTCCTCATCATACTATTGATGCCAGACAATAATTCACTCTTCCTGTAGGTGGGAATAAAAGCTTCTACAGCTGGAAAGTCTAATGAAGAGTATTTTGCTGACCTTTGTTTTCTCCTGTTATTCTTAGATGATTTATTTTTAATTTATCAATACTTTTACTAAAATAAAACGCTTGTGCATTTTTATTTGTGCAATATTTGACCACACAAACACAGAAGCCAATCGAAGCAGACAAGCAGGCTTTCCATGTCCTTATCGTGGTGTTTGGAGCCTCCCAGGTCCTCTTTTCCAATTCTTAACATGGAATATATCTGTGGAAACTACATTCCCACTGTAATAAGGAACCTTGGAGATTTAGAAATAGCTGAAGAAGAAGAGGAAATATGGAACACATTGCTGACTCCTTTTGTGTCACTGAAGACTCAGAAGAATCTTTGTAAACACAATCTTTTCCCTAAAATCTGGGGTATAATAAGCTCATCACTTGACGATTATTTACTAGCCACGACTAAAGGAATTAAAATCCCCCACAGAAGACACGGTACGTAAAGAATGGTCCTTGGCTGGACTAGGACAGAACACAGTGAACTCATTTTCCATAAAGAGAAGTTTGCTTTCTCTGGTGCTGTGCAGGACCAGAGAAAGCCAGCAGAGCTCGGGAGATCGATGTTACACAATGAACTTGGTGCTTCAACAACAGCAAATAAACAGAAACATGGTGTAGGCGAGTT